ATCATTTAAAAATATATTCAAATAGAAAGCAGTTATTTTAAATAGTAAAAATATTTCACAACATTACTGCTTTTGCTGTACCTTGAATCAAATAAATGCAGGCTTGGTGAGCAGTCCCTGTGTACATGCATGTTGTTTTTACATATCAGGATCATACAATTTACATACCATGAATCAACATTATTTTCTGACATAATCAACAACATGCCACAAATGCTGTTGACAGAAACAAATTTGCTTTAAAGAACATTTTATTTCTAGAGCTACATCTGAAGTGTGAACCATTCATAGAGCGCATTCTCTTGAAGTCTCATCACACAGCCACCAGAGGTCTCTGTTTCCAATTACTTCCAAAGGCAGCCTCTGATCAATAGGGGTTTAGCAGTTTAAATTCTCAATGTTTCTTTTGTATTTTGATTTTGTGGCCATGAATTCAGTTAAATCAGCAATTCAATAAAATATCAGATGTCATTAAACCATATGCTGCATTAAAATACACCACACTGTAAAATTACATACAATTCACATTTTGTGAAATGTCAGCATTTATTGAAATATATAGAAAATATAAAAAGTTTTGTTGTCACTTTCAAACATCAATATGTCACTCTCTAAGTCTACATTAGTTCAGCGATATTAAGAATTACTTTAATTGCTTGAAAAAGACACCTGAAAATTGTCAAATGTGAAAAACACATTTACACTAAGTTTGGGTTAATTTCTTTTTAAAGAAATTCAGATTATTCAGATGCATTAAATTGATCAAAAGTGACAATAAAGACATTTAAAATGTTACAAAAGATTTCTGTGAAATAAATGCTGTTCTTATGAACTTTCTATTCATCAGAGAATCATAAAAAAATGTAATGGCTGGACTGGAGTAATTTCTGCTGAAAATTAACTGAAAATACAATTTTATCTATTTAAAATAGAAAGCATTTATTTTAAATTGTAATAATATTTCACAATATTACAGTTTTTACTGTATTTTTGATCAAATAGAGGCCGACCGATATATCGTTTTGCCGATATTATTGGGCGAATATGCCTCCGATATGAACTTTTTTTTTTACAGAACATATAATGCAGATTAAATGATTCTGAATGGTGTAATTACTTAGTTTGTCCAGCAGAGCGCGCTCCATTGTTTGCTACTGGCGACCCAGGTCAGTGTAGAGACGCGCGGATATAGTCCGCTGCTTAAAATTATCAGCCTGCCACCCACCTGCACCTATATTTGATCGTCACATTACAATGATGCGGTCCAGAACTCATGCTTATCACATCGGTCACATCACATCGCGCGGCGCGACAAAATACAATAGATTTCTATTGTACTTTGTCACGGCACGCCGCTCGCGTCCGTGTAGAATAGAACCCATTATAATCAGTGATGTTGTCTACACTGGATGCAGTAAACGGATGCCTCGTTCTATTTATGACGAGCTGACACAAAGTTCAAATGATTTTCAACGGTCGCTTTGTCGCATCCTTTTGCGGCGCAGACACGGTGTCAGCATAGTTTGTCAGTACAGTCAGTAACGTAGCAGATTGAAACGTTAGTATCTTTCTGCAGTCCCATAGACGGCAGTGCGGTAGTGTCTTGAGTCTGTTGAATGGTAATTTAACGCTACGTTGTCACCTAGTTGGAGAGACTCAATGCTAAGTTAATAAACAACAATGTCCCCATCTTTTACTCTCACAATGAGCTTATCATATTCGTTTGCTACATTAGTAGGGCCCTATGATTTCCGCGATGCAGAAAACATGGACTGAATCGCGGAATCCAGTCATAAAAAATTTATTTACTGTATAACGCGGAATTTCATGGAATTTGTATTATTTTTGATGAATAAATAAAAAAACAGGTCAGTACATATATATATACTGTCTGTGAATATTAAACTGCAAAAAGACTTCCTCATGAATCCTCATGTTCTGCATGATCATTTGATTACCAGAAAATACACAACACAGAATTTGTGAAAAAATATTATTCATTATTATTATTTATTCATTTTAGATGTTTCCATTTGGAAAAGCTGTGCTTCCTGCATAAACCTGCCCCTGTTGGTTTGGCAGTAGCTTGCTTGCCCTACACAGTTACCTTGTTTAATTTCTTAATTCAAGTTATATATATATTGTTCTATTTGTGTTTTTTAAATTATATTTATAATAAGTGAAGTTTACTGTTATGTGCACTGATGTCAGACTCATTTTGAATAATAAAGTTTATTGTTAAATTGTTAAATACCCTGCCTCCATTACATAGGCCTATGTTTGTCACATCATTATAAATGTTTGATCACCACATTTGAGTTGTTGCAAAAAATGTGTTTATGTATATATATTCTGTTTATGTAGGCTATATACTGTATTCTATATACAGTACCAGTCAAAAGTTTGGACACACGAATGGGAAGTGTGTCCAAACTTTTGACTATACTGTACTATAATATAGCCTACACAAAGAATATCGGCCGATATATCGATATCTGTCTTTTTTACGCTCTAATATCGGTATCAGCCCCCAAAAAACCCATATCGGTCGGGCTCTAAAATAAATGCATTCTTGGTGAGCATAACAGACTTCCTTAAAAAATCTTGCCCCTTTTGAATAGTAGTGTAATATTCATATTTTTAAAGATGCCATTAGACATGAAATTAACTGAGGTACAAACACATTCTGAACTATGGGTGGTGAACTGTCTCACCCCTTCTGATTACCCAGCAACCCACAGGACTGGCCGAATCAACAGAGAGGAGGTTACGGATGATTGGCTCACCCACACTGAGGCACTGGGCCAAATCTGAGCATGATATGGTTAGATTCAAATCAAGGATCTTAGCAATAGGACACAGAGAATTAGATGGATTATTGTGCTTCACGTAACAAAAACACAAAAGGAACCTTCATTTTACAGATTTAACATGACAGCAGTGGCATTCCAGTAGGCAGAAACTCCTACCTTAATAGAGGCTCCTGCGAATCGTGCTAGTTGTTTAATATGTTGGCCCTTCTTGCCAATAATAGCACCAACAGCCTGAGTTGGAATAAAGAGGTAGACCACCTCCTGTTCAGGAGCCTGCTGTGGAGAGAGCAGAAAAAACATGCAAAATATTACGGCCTCTAATTCAGTGTGATTCTGCAAATCAGGGATTCCTCAAAAAGGCCTTCTAAAATCCATCTGAGCATGTCAGATAGATTCAACCTTTTTAAAAGTGGTTTGGTCGCTCTGTCTGTTTACTCCATTTAGTTTTCCCAAACCACCCACAATCCCACTTAGATACTGCTCACTTCAGCGCAGGCTGGAGGTCAAGCCCTGAAGGTTCACACAGGTTTGTACGGAGGCAAAAACAATCCATTCATCACTCAAACTGATGATGAGGATGCAAACCTCTTATCTGTTTCTAAAGGACCTGACCTGCCTGGCACTGAAGTGTGAACCATAGGAAACCAGTGACTCATTGTTCAGACTCTCTGCATGGGCAACAGTGAAAGATTGAAGATGCCAGAGAGCTTTTTCATTCAGGAGTTTACAGCAAGTCAACACCATTAGCTTGTGGTGTTCAGCACTGCCTGACAGAGACGGAGGTTTTTATTTGGTGAATAACTACCAAGTTATTTATTAAAATGACATTAACATTAACAAAGGTAGTCACTCCATCTTGTGTCACTTACAGAATCTACCAACAAACCGTCAACGGACAGGAAACATTTTCTGTTTATAAGTATTTTGGAGTGAATTTTGAGTAAATATTGTATAAAATATGTTTTTTTAACATCATATTTGCCATAATTAAATTGTGCTACAAATAAAATACAATATATATTAGCATTATATCGGCCATCACACGCTCTAGCTATCAATATATGATATAAAATATGACAACACATAAAACTGGTTGGCTGGAACACTGTATCCACCAATCATCATTCACAACCAGAACAATCTATTTTATTGGACAGTTTCAGTAAGAGTACTCACTGTGTGCTGGTGAGAGATGGCACTAGCAGGCGGGACACTGTACAGCCCACCCAGCTGTGATGAATGACCCTGGAACAAATGAGATGGATCAATTTACAAACATTTTACATCTCAAGAACATTTCACTATTATTGAATATTGTCTTGGGTTGTTTTTACAATAATTTGGAAATTCAATGTAAAAAATAATATGATTACATATGTTCATGTTAGATGCAATTAATCGTGATTAATTACAGAAACCTGATTATGAAATGATTATTTAGAAATGATTATTTAGTTATTTTTTTAATAGATCATCAGCCCTGCTTTAAAATTATCTTTAAAAAAAGACACTGCCACATGTAATAAATTTTTTTTTATTATTTTTAATTTATTAGATAATTTATCTAATTATCGGTCTCTCCGTTGCGTCGCTGACGCTCACGGGGAGCGCATCCAATAGCGCCGTGCTATAAGCAAGTGCAGAATGAAGCCGCTCTGCGAGGCCAGCCCCAGAGCACCGATACTGAGGGCTCCTGTAAGCATGAGCCAGTACTGAGACCCAAGCCGTTTAGGCTAAGGTCTACATAACATAACCCTCTTCACTTACAAAGGGGATTAGGTAGAATTAAGTGGACAAGATCCGTGCCTGCAAGGCAGAGACATACAAGTTATAAAATGTATAAAGTTATAAAAAAAAAAGGCGGCCGCACAAGTATCACCAATAGAAATCCCGTTGGACCACGCCCAGGGGGAGGCCTTTCCTCTGGTGGAGTGGGCCCTCACACCTATAGGACACTGTAAGCCCACTGAGGCATAAGCTAGGGCTATAGCATCGACTATCCAGCGATATAGGGTCTGCTTCAAAACCGGCAGACCTTTAGAGCAGCCTCTGAAGCATACAAAGAGCTGCTCTGAGTGTCTAAACGGGCCAGAGCACTCAACATACACTCTAAGAGCCCAAACCGGGCAGAATGGATTAGGACCCTGCTCACCTTCTGAATTGGGGAGCTCTAGGAGGGTGATGACTTGTGCTCTGAACGGAGTGGAGAGCACTTTTAGCACATAGCCATGTCTCAGTATACATTGAGAGTGGAAGGGGTGCGCCCCTTATCCAGCAGCTCTTGTGGAAAGGTTAGAACTAGCACCCGTCATCGTGCGATATGTACTGGTTCCGTGCTACACACCAGTCAGTGAAAACTGACCATTTAAGGGTGAAAAGATGTCTTGTAGATGGAGCTCTGGCCTCTAAAATGGTATTAATTACACTCGCAGGGTGCTGCAAAGACTCCCGTTGAGGGGCCAAGCATGAAGACTCCACAGCTCTGGCCGGGGATGCCAAATCATGCCCTTCGTTTGCGAGAGAAGGTCCTTCCTCAGTGGTATCAGCCCACTGATTATTAAAATGCCAACTGATTCCTCCAAAGTGGGGCCACCAAGAGTACTGAGAATCTGACTTCCCTGACCCATCTTGATGACCTGAGGAAGCAGGGCAACTGGAGGGAAGGCACACAGACAGGCGCTGGGCTAATTGTTGGCCAGGGCATCGCTGCTTCAAAAAATAAATCGGGCAGTGAAAGTTGTCTTCTGAGGCGAAGAGGTCCACCTCTGCCCTGCCAAAGACAGACCAGATAATTTGAACCGTTTGGGAATGTAGTCTCCATTCTCCTGGAGCCACATTGTCCCTGGACAGCATGTCTGCTTGCTGAGAGGATGGAGCCTTCTGGCGACTTGAAACAGCCACCGCACTGGAGCACGTTGGCAGGAAGTGACACATTGCCTGCGATGACTTCTGTGCCACTGTAAACCCCTTGGCAAATCCATCCACGGCAGGGCCAAACAGTCCCTTAGGAGAGACTGGTGAGTCTAGGAAGGCGATCTTGTCAGCGCCCCTGATCACTGTCGGATTTAGCCAAAGGTGGCGCTCCAGCACCACCAAGTTAGCCATGGCCTTGCCGATTGCCTGCGCAGTGGCCTTAGTAGTGTGCAGAGCCAAGTCAGTCACTGTGCACAGCTCTTTGAAGGCGCCAGAACTCCGGATGGACTCATCCATGGTGCGGAGAAGTTTGGCCTGGAATACTTGGGAACACCACCATCGTGTGAAGCACTGAGTCAGCCTGGCCAGCTGCTGAATAAGCCCTGTTTGCAAGGGCTGAGGTAGTCCTGAAGGGCTTTGATGGGTGCGCTGCATGGGCTTTCAACCCCAGGGCTGATGGAGGGCACAGATGCACAGCGACTGCCTCTTCCAAAGGGGGAGCTTGCTATAACCTCATTCTTCAGCGCCGTCAACAGTGGTGAGAGCGATAGAAGTAGAGTGATTAACACGCAGCAAGTAGGGCGTGCGCCACGTCCTGGTAAGTTCCTCTTGAACTGCTGGCAGGAACGGGCAGGCCGTTGGCGGGAGGAAGGAGGCCGACGAGGGGCGCTGATCCTCACATGTGAAGCACACAGGCAAATCGAGTCTCGAGGAGAGTGAAACACGTGAGAGCTGCGCCGGCGTGAGTTCACTCGAGCCCGGTGTTTGAGCCCAGCTGTTCCGCTGTTTCTTCCTACTAGGGGAGAGAGGAAACAAGAGAGCAGAGCGGGGAGGACCACCTTCATTAAAAAAGGCAATCCATGAGCGAAGAGGGACGAGACTCATGCTCTCGCAGTGAGAGCATTCCGTCCCAGTGAGCGCAGCCTCTGCGTGGGCGCTGCCCAAACAGGCGACGCACTCACTGTGCCCAGGGAACCCTTGCATGAGCCACACTCGCGGCGCGACATTTGAAACAATGTTGCTGGAAATTGGTTCAGAAATTTGCTCTTAAATGCGCTGGATGGCCGCAGGGGAAGGCTTCTGGCTTCTTCCGCTGTCGGGGGCTCCTTCTCATGGAGGCGAGCAGCAGGCTGAGCTTCTTTCTTTCCCCTCTTCGGCTTCTTGCTTGCAGAGTCAGCGAGGAGATGATCTTCGTCATTGACAGAGAAAAATTCTGACGAAATGGCGCTCAGAGCCAACTTATATAGTGATCAGCTCTTCCTCTTTTGGCAGGTTGAAGCGTCATTGGTTCGTGCAGTTACATGAGCGTGAACAAATCAGGCTTCAGTATCAGACACACAACGGGAGAGACCGTTCAAAAGGGAAATACGTTTTCAAAAGGGCCTTTCCATGCTGTTCATATGCAAGGTTTGATAGAAAAGCTGGCTAACCAGCTGGCCAGTTACTAGCATAACAGGTTACTAGCTGGCTGGTGAGGATACTAACATGCTGGCAGCTCTTTGCAAAAGTTTGCAAGTATAATATGTTATTGACAGTAAATGACAAAGTCCCTAATGTCATGAAGAGAACTTGATTTACCGTAAGCAAAGAACTGCAACAATAAAAACCTGTTGAAACAATTTACAATAAATGACTACTCAAGTTTTACAGTACTACTGAGGATGATAAAACCCAACGAACACTCATTCAGTAATGAGTGCCATCTCACAAACCCACACACACATTCTACCTTCATTAGTTCATCTGTGAGCCATAAGCTGTCCTGTCTGACTCATCACTAAATATGGGGAATCCTGCAGCACGCTAACCGACTGGAAGGATTATACAACTCAATAATGAGTAGGTGCATGCTAAGGTGAGCACTCACTGAGAAAGGGACGGTATATGTACAATGTGGCTAAATGTCCAGATAGTGCACCATTTAGATTTAAAGGGGTCACACATGATGTTGCTAAAAAGAACATTATTTTGTGTATTTGGTGTAATGAAATGTGTTTATGCGGTTTAAGGTTCAAAAAACATTATTTTCCACATACTGTACATTATTGTTTCTCCTCTATGCTCCGCCTTTCTGAAACGCGTCGATTTTTACAAAGCTCATCAGTCTGAAAAGCGAGGTGTGCTCTGATTGACCAGCTATCCAGTGCGTTGTGATTGGACGAATTCCTCAAGCGTGTGACGGAAATGTTACGCCCCTCACCATACTGTTGATGCCGTGTCCCGGCCGGAGCGATGATTCAAAA